CCCTCCAAGAGCATCCTCTTCTAGGAAACTTCCTCTGAGAATCAAAACTGAACAATTATTCACACAAAGCCAGTCACTTAGTAGATTGGTTTGATTGATTGACTATTTGACTACAAGGAATTAAGGTATAATTCTCAAGGTATTTCTATGTCACTACCTCTTGCTTTAATTATCACTAATAATGCCATGGCTACACAAAAGACAGGAATATATTTTAAGAATATGCAAAGCTATTGATTTTAAACTAGAAAATTATTCTTACCTGCCCTGGTTAGCCGTAGTGCAATAAGTCCACCAAAAAGTGAACTGTACAACTGTTGCCACCTATAGGTGACAACTGCAGTATATTAATTTCATCATAATTCTGGTGAAGTGTTGTATGTGAAGGAAATCAGGATGTTTTACAGAACATCCACAATCTTTGTCAAACACTCATCTTTACTGGGTTTGTTATTAATAGTATTGTGTTGTTCTGTAATTCTTATTTTAGATATTCCTCTTAAGATGATGTCAGCTGATATTTGTAAAGTTCTTTTCCAGGACAGAGGTTAAGAACTCAGGCTCTGTAGGCAGGCTGCCTGGGCACAAATCCAAACTCTACCGTGTACTGCTACATGACCTTAAAGAAGTTACTTAACTTCCTCACGCTTTTATTGCCCATAAATAGAGATACTAAAGAATCCTACCCATAGAATTGATGTGAGGATGAAAACAGATAATCAGTGCAATGTGCTCAGCAGAGTACCTGCACAGAATAGGCACTCAATTAAATGCCGTTATTACCATGATTCGTTTGCAAAGCACCTTTGCATACAGTTGCTACAAACTGATGAGCACTATTTTGTTGCCATTGAACAGATTAGATCATTAGCACATTACTGTTTGACCTCAACCCTCCTTATATTTTAAATTTAAATATTATGTGACTTCAAATTTTTAAAAATACCTACAATCTGATAGGACAATGTTGAGGCTAGTTTGGTATGTTTCTAACTGCAGGCAGAGAAGTAAGCTACTTTACTGCTTTTATACTTAGCTGGCAGGACCACTAGAGAAACCCAAGCCAACAGCTGAGACTCTGCTGATGCTAGAGAAAGCTGAATTCATCACTAAGTGTCCATGGAGAATCTACTGATGAATTAGCATTGGGTTAGGCCAGTGATTTTCAACCTTTTTCATCTCATGGCACACATAAACTAATTACTAAAATTCTGCAGCACACCCAAAAATGTATTATATTTTTTGCTGATCTGACAAAAATAGGTGTAATTTTGATTCATTCACATCGAATGTCTATTGTTGTGTTGGCTATTGTCATTTTTTTATTTGACATTTAAGGGAAAAGAGGTCAGTGCCCCTGACTAAATAGTCAGGTACTGCATGTTTTAAAAATTCTTGTGGCACACCAGTTGAAAATCGCTGGGTTAGGCCTTTAGGGAGAGATCTAGCAGGGGAATGAAGATGCAGGGGTCTGCTAGGACAAAAAAACAAGTATAAAATATGATCTCTAGCTCAGATGTTGAAACAATGCAGAAGTTGCAATTTAACATAGTGGATTTTTTAAATCCTCACCCGAGGATATGTTTATTGATTTTAGAGAGAGAGGAAGAGAGACAGAGAGAAAGAGAGAGAGAAGAAAAAAATAAGAAATGAATATCAATGTGAAAGAGGAATTTTGATAAGTTGCCTCCAGTAGCTGCAACTTAGATATGTGCCCTGACTGGAAATCGAACCCACAGCCCTATTGGTATGTGGGACAACACTGCAACCAACTCAGCCAACTGGCCAGGGCAATCATGGAGTCTTTGATTATTATTGTTCCATTTATTCTTAATATAAATAAGTAACTAAAAATCAAAGGATTTCAAATATAAGCAAATATTGATCTAGATTTATGACCCCACCACAGCACATTTTTCCACAGCACAGATCAGCTAAATTTACTTACAGGAATACCTCGTTTTACTCTGCTTCACTTTGTTATTACACTTCACAGTTGTTGCTTTTTTTTTAATGAATTAAAGGCATGAGCCTCCACCAACAAGCACATTATGACTCACTTTGTTGCAGTGCTCTGGAACTGAACCCACAATATCCCACAAGGTTCATCTGTAGCTGCCCCTGCCTTTAAATTAGGCACATGCTGATGAGCTAAGCACAGTCCTCACCACTTCTTCGTGCTCCCCAGCACTGAGGCTTACTGCTAATTGGCCCTCATTGTCACTCTTGCACTGATGTTGTTCTTATAGTAAAAAATAAAAATTAGAAAATAAATTATGTACCCACCTCTCATGAAAACTGTGAAAATAAAAGACTATGAAGACCATGTGCTTTTTCTTAAAATGAGCCATTTGTTTATTTCAGTCACCTCCCTGACCAAGGTAGGTGTTGTTATATTTAAGTGAGTAATGTTGTTATAATTAATTGAAGAAACAAACCTGTAGGCATGAAACACTTAGAAAACATGATGCATGATCTGTGTCTAATAGGCTGTGGGCATTTTAATGGTAAATACATCTCTTTCCTCATCTCTACCTTAACACATTGAATTATATTTTTCACCTACTTTCCAAGACTACAGGTTCTTCTAGACTGGTGATTCCCAAATTTTAGCATATATGGGAATCACCTGGTGAACTTGTTAAAAATTTGCTGGGTGTTGGCATTTCTGATGCAGAAAATCTGAGTGGGGCTCAAGAATGTGGATTTCTAATAAGCTCTGGAGTGATACTGATGTTGGTCTGGAGAATACAGTTTGAGAATCACTGTTCTAGAACAAGAATTATGTCTCACATTATTTGTTTATTTATTGTACCATTTATTGAGTACCTATTACCATGTGTCAAGGTCTTGGGGTGTTGTATTTCTAATACTTACATCAATCCTGAAATAAAGGTGTGTCTTGTCACCATTCACCCCTGAGGAAGGAGACTCCTGGGCAGGTCTGATATTTAGGGTCAGGTCTGTTTGCCTCCAGGGCCCCAACTTCCCTCCACAGGATGCGATTTTACTCAGCTATATATCCTCCACACTGAAACCTTCCACCTGCCTCTCTAATAAATGTTTATTGAATAAATTTGAGATCCCCATTGACTAGAAATGGGCAAGAAAAACTCTTGTGGTTCTTGAATGAAGAAAAAGGGAGAAGATATTCAGGTGAGGAGAAAATCGTATTGAATGCCCTTTATTTACCCACATTTAATATAATCAAAGCATTTCCTATTCTCTCCATGTATTTTTAGCACTGTGCTATACAATTCTTTGTGTAAAATGCCCAAAGATTAGTGTGATGTGAATAGGGACTGTTGCCTGGAGTTATTCCTAATTATGGAGACACTTCTCTATAACTGGCTAGGAATCTGTTCCTTGACCTATCTATGGTTTAAAGGTAACCTTTTGAGATTGAAAATTAGCTCTTAAGTCATGCTCCTTCATAATAATAGTATAATGAAATACATACCACTTCACAGATGATTTTTCAAGTATTCACATAGAATTATACCATTTCCCACAGCAGAGAAAGAAACTCTGAGTGTGCTCCTGGAACACTGAAGTCATCCACTTCCATACCTTTTTCTTTTCTCTTTCTATTAAATACTTAACATGTGAGAATCCATAGGCTTTGGCCGTGTCTGTTTTCTCCTGAATCAGAGCACAATTTCCTTATTTCACCTTTGTATGTCCATACTAAGCATGTGGGTGGTGACCTGGGCAAATGAACTGCGGATGTTAGGGCCTTAGACAGTAATGATAGAGATGGTTTGGCAAGTGGAATATTTGGGTGGCAAAACTTAAAAAAGAAAATACAGGACATCTTGTCCTTTATTACACGAGTGTGGTAAAACAAGAGCATGGAAGACAGCCAGACAAGAATTCAAATCCTCTTCTCAATCACTTGCTGAGTGACCTTGGGCAATTAACCCTGTCACTCTGAGCCATACTTTCATCTTTCAAATGGGGATGTGTAATTTGCAGGTTTGTGAAAGGCTTATAGATAAAATATGTTCACTGTCTTTTACTTAGTGGATGCTTAATAAACGGTAACTATCATTATCATCTCTGAACCTTGTCCATACTTCTTTCTATGTTTGGATGGACTTTTTGCACGAAAGAGGAAAAGATAAGAAATGTGTTAATGACTTTACCCCCTCCACATTTGTTGCTTTTTGCACCTGTGCTTCCTCTCCTCCTACCTCAGACCTTAGGAGCCACTAGAGCAACTGATACATTAATGTTCATAGGGTTTCTCTATAATAATTATTAAATATGCCTGCAATGTTTTATAAGTTCCTAGAGAATTTAAAACATTTTTAGAGATTACCAATAGCACCCTAGAAATATCCCTCTTTAAATTGATGTTACTAGAACCTCTTGGAGGGGTGTGGATACTAAGGCGTAGACCTGTTACCTTGCTTTTTAAGCCCTTGGGCCTACCAAAGTCTATATCCACTAACCTGGAAGTCTTGTTCAAATACCTTGAGATTTGTAAAGGGACAAAATGACAGTGCTTCTGGTAAGTTTAACATGTACTTAATTTCATAGCAATGTAAGGGGTATTGTGTATATTTTGTTTGTTTGCTTGTTCTGTTTTTTACATATAATTTTAACTTCTGACTGAAATTCAATCCCTATCCATACTTTGCAACTGGAAAATTAATACTATTTAGTAAGAAAAGGGAGTAGTGTGAAATTTTGATAAAGCAAAGTAAGGCACTTTACCTGAACAAATTTCAAATGGATCCACTTAAAATGAAATTAAGTGGCACTTAACTGGTTTGCAAATTGGGACCTATTTATCTCAGCAAAATGATTAAAGTCTTGATTTATCCCCAAAATTGGTTTTATTATATTTAATTACACTAGAAGCTTGTTAAAGACTTGTAGGTTCTCTCTGTACTTTTAAACTGTACTTTATATAGGCAGTAATAATTGAATATTGGATAGAATAACTTGATTTCTAAAGAAATATGTTTCTAATATTTTTCCTCTTTTTATTGCAGAAATTGAAACAAGTTGAAGAAACAAAAGAGGACCCTGAGAATAGATTATCTAAAATTTCCCTGGAGTCATTCAATAAATATAACAGCAATACTGCAATTTTATTAGAAAAAGAGAACTCTCAGAACAAGGTTGAAGAAGGAAAGGAAGAAAAAGAAAAAAGTGAAGAAGCATCTTTGAGTAGTTCCGACAGGCCCGGTGTAGACAATTTGGAATCTTTGAGTGATTCCTTATACGATAGCTTCTCTTCCTGTGCAAGTCAGGGTTCAAATGACACATAAAAGATTTTTTTCTCCATAGTGAGCTGGAAATGGAGCACTTAAGAAACAGGGCCGGGGAAGTGCAGGCAGAGGTGACAACAATAAAGTATTATAACACAAGAGCCCATGTTGTCAGATTCACAACAAGCCACCTACTGCAGCTTTCCCCTCAGACAGGACAGTATAGACTCCATTTTGCATTTCATGAGGATTAAAAACACACCCACAATACAAAAGTCTTACTTTTGCACTTTTTTTTTGAATACTGTACAGAAGTTGTAAATTTTTTGGAAAAGAAATTATATTTGTAGCAAAAAGAAAAGCAATAAATTGAATCAGTGCCATGCTCTTGAAATGATATACTAAGTCTTCTAGACATTGATGATAATATATTTTTTAAAAATTCCAACTAAAGTTTTCTTCAGCTCATTGTCCTAGTGCCCGAATTGTTAGCGGGTACACTCCGTAAACCTAAAATAGGACCTGCCAAAAAGCAGAGCACTCATTGTAATCTCCATCTCACAATCTCAATTGGATAGAAACTTTAATTTTAGTGCAATTTTAGAATTGTTGCCAGAGAGATTCAGGCTCTAGTAATAAGTGTAATTCTGCTTCTACCGAAAAAGATGAAGGGTGCTGGAGTGTGACCTTGATCCATAGGGATGTGCATCAGAAGTGGCCTAATTCTATTTTCAATAGCAGGCTTTCCCTCCAAACATTTCCTTACATGCTCTTCCACCTAGTGCTTCTCTATGATTCTGGGCAGTTCTTGTTTTTTATTTTCCTGCTCTTTTTATTAAAATCTGGGCAATCTAGAATGAAAACAAATTTCTACCTGCAATGTTTGACTTTAAAAAATTAAAATGGTTGGTGCTATGAAAAATCTCACTTTTTAATATCCTTTTTTCCTACAAAGTCTGTTTATATGTAAGGATAAATTCTATTTTAAAGGTTATGTGTATTTTTTCTAGATGTGAACTATTTATAATTGCTTTTGTACAGAAGCTTGTAAACTAGGCATAATAAAAATATTTTTAGGATCTGTATGATTACTTCAGTACCCACTTGTTTCTTTAAAGACTATTGTATGACCAGTGTTACTTAGTAAATTTGTGCAATTTGAATTTTGTTGGCTCAGATGAAAATTATGTAAAGTGTCATCTTTCAGACTTTTAAAAATTCTTTTGTTTCATTTCTGAATAAAAGGCATGCCACAATTGAACCCTCTAAATTTGTTTAAGGAGGCTGTGGCCCAGTTAATTATTTGAATCTCACTCGTGCTCCAAGAATGAATCCCCCAAGGAATAAATAAACTAGCCCTCTTTCTCCAGAGATAGTAATTCCCCAGTTGTCAGATCAGAGTCTGCAACAAACGAGTAATGGTCAAAGCATTGCAGTCTTCCCCGAGCGGTTACTTAGCTAGAAAAGAAAGGAAAGGGGGGGGGGGTGACGAAGGAGAGAAGGAGCCTGAGGGAGATGTGGAATGATCTCTGCAGAGGAATTACAGGAAAGTAATTTAAGCACATTTCCAGACTTGCTCTGCTGGCAGGATGGGGAAATAAGTGAACAGCGTCCCAGCCTGCGAGAGCTGCCTTTAAGAGGTGGCCCGAGGAGAAGGTGAAGAGAGGCAACGCTTATGAAGCTATTTCCACAGAAGTGGATGATCCCTAGGGATTTGGGGGCTGTAGGAACGTGCGGGTTGAGGGCGTGGGCATCAAGACTCTCCAGCGGGCAGGCGGGCGGGAGGGCTCCTGTACCACCTGCTGCAAGGCTCCGCGGCGAGAACAGCGAAAGCAACAAGCATAGCCCCTTTGGCGTTGGCGTCCCCGGCAGTACTCGAGGTGGGTTGCTGGAGCAGAAGAGGAAGAATGGGAGGAGGGAAGGGCCGGAGCAGCCGGTGACCAAGTCCCGGGCGGGGAAGGGGCAGTACAAGCGTGGACGCGGGAGCATATACTAATGGTTCATGGCTTTGAGGGGAACAGGATGAAGCTGCCCGCCCTTTTAGAGGAAGATGCTAGAGGATAGCAACTCCCTTCTTCACCCCAATTTGCTTTCTAGTGGGAGCTCGCGAAGGTCGCCCCCGGGGTGTCCCTCTCCTAGTACAGTGTCACTGCACCCGCTAGCGGTGCGCTCAGGCAGTCCAAAAGAGAGCTGCCTGGAGGTAGCTCTCCAGTCAGGGCAGGGACTCCGCCACACCCCGCCGCAGCTGAAGCCAAGTCTGGCAATGGCTGAGGGGCTCCTTGGAGGAAGAGAAGTTGCAACTGAGCGAGACACCCTAGGGCGTCTGCAGGTGTGCAACTTTGCCAGATGCACAGGAGCGCGCCCCCAGCCCCAGCTTTTTGGACCGGATCCTGCTGTTGGGACCCGTCAGCCGCGGGGATCTGGCCAGCCCCGGGAGCGCAGCGGTCGTAGGTAGCGCGCACCTGCGGCCAGAGGGCCCTTGGGGAACTTAGTCTTCCTACCCCACCTCGAAGGTCCCTCAGTCAGCGTCCCGCCGGTCCCGCGGCACCTGCTGCGCCCTTCTCACGCTTCACGGATCTACAGCCTCCCCACCTCGGGAAAACTACACTCTCCGTCTCCCCCTGGGTTGCCTGTCCTAGGGACGTGCGAAGGCGGGAGAAGAGGGCGATAGAAAGGGGGTGGGGACGTGGAAAGACAGTCCCAGCCTTCCCCGCCCGCCACCCCCACCCCAACTCGGCAGCCGTCACGTGGTGCCTGGAGTGGGAGGTGGGGAGAAGAGGCGAGACTTTTGGGGTGCTCTGGATCGCCAGCAGTGCCTCCAGTCTCAGCCGACAACTCCGGAGACGCGGCGCTCTGCCCCGGAGAGCAATTGAGAGGTACTGCGACCCGCAGTCGGGGGCCCCAGCGCGGGCGATGCGGGCACCGCTGGCGGCACCTGCGGCTCCTCTCGGCTGCGACGGTCGCCTCGGCGACAGCAGCGCAAACCACAGAAGCCTCAGCAGCCACAGCCGCTGCAGCCCGGGCAGCGGTCGCTGCCTCTGAGGCTCTCGCCCGCTCCCGGCCCAGAGGCTCCGGGAGGATGTGGATCCTCGGCATCGCAGCAGCATTTTGCGGACTGTTCTTGCTTCAAGGTAAGAAGAAGAGGCCCGCAGCCCAGCCAAGGGCGCTCACAGCTTCTACCCGCCTGTCCCTTGGCCCGGGGCTGCGCAGAGATTGCTCAACCGGAGTTTGGCGGTGGCTGGTGCCCAGAGGCTCTAGGTGGGAAAGTCTCCAAGTCCGGAGCTGCGGGAGGAGGGGCAGGAGACGCGGATTTGCAGGATTCGAGCTGCAGAAGCACGAGCTGCACCTGTCGTAAGAAGGGCTGGGGAGGCGGGAAGGTCCGAACGATAGCGGAGCCTCGGAGAGGGAGTGGGGACTGATAGCCCCCAACCCGACCAAGTTGTCAGGCGTCTCCAACAACCCGTGGGAGTGGCGCCGCCGACTGGTGAGCGGCTCTTGGGGCAGCCTGTGGCTGGGGCGCGCCGGGTCTGTGTTCCTGCGCTTGGAGCGCAGCGGATCTGGGGTTGGGAAGTGCGAGTTTGGGAACCTGGCTCGCTTGTGCGGGAGCAGAAGGAGTTAGGTCTAATCTGGAGCTCGCAAATCCAAGCGAAGCAGCCAGGCTGGAGCGATAAAGATGCAAAATCGTCTCGCTCTTTCTTTCCAGTACGCAACCGCGTTCTGAGAGAGCTGTGCAGACCTGGGACCTCGACCCGGGACCCTAGCCAAAAGGTTGCTATGATAGGCAAGAAGAAAGGGCTGTGGTGTAGTGTCCCGGGGTACACACACGCGCGCGCGCGCACACACACGCCCTCTCCAGTCACCGTGGCCACACACCTGCTGCTTCGGACCCGTCCCGAGACTTGGGGCGCCGTAGCACTTGGTGCCTGGTGCTCCCTCCAGGGTTCCCGGGTGGTCGCGTAGGGAGTCTCGGAGCGACAGCATAGGAATGCTGACTTTAAAAAATTAAGTGAAACTAAGAAGGCGTCTGCAAGTGCAATCGCGAATGGTGCGAAAACAGTAATTAAGCAATTTGTAACCAATTAACAATTAGGCAAATCCTTCGGTGTAGACTGGAGCTGACGCTTGTGTCTGGAGCTACTTCGCTCTCCGGATTGTATACTCTTCCTTGGAACTTCCACGTGGAAGGGCCAGGTGTGGTGTACCGGCTCTTTTTTACAGGAGTGTGGGTCCAGGTGTAGCGGGTAGAATTCCACTTTATTCTGTGGGGTTCTGGGTGCCCGCGCCGCCCCCTGCCGGCCTCAGTGCCACGGTGGCCTTACTCGGAAACCCTAAGAACGCCGAGCACTAGCACCCCAGCGACTGGATCAGTGCCAAAGGTCGTGGTATCTATTCCTGGTATCCCGGGTGGTCTTTGTAGGGACTGAATCTGAATCCCTCTGCCTCTGTCCCACAGGCTTTGCGCTGCAAATCCAGTGTTACCAGTGTGAAGAATTCCAGCTGAACAACGACTGCTCCTCCCCGGAATTCATCGTGAATTGTACGGTGAACGTTCAGGACATGTGTCAGAAAGAAGTGATGGAGCAAAGTGCGGGTAGGAGTCCGGCAGCCTTCTCTGTCTCCTCTGAAGCCTGGGTCACGGGTGGAAAGTGAGGGAACCATTCAATGACAGGAAAGGAACTGACTTTGATTTAATGGATACACACTGGTTATCACAGACTTACTTTCGCAATGCTGGGAAAATGAAGTGTTCCAAGTTACTTTAATCTCATCAGACTTAATTACCAGGGCTTCCCCTCAAGGGACGTGGGCAGAAAGTGCATTTAATGACTGTCTCTCTTTATTTATTCCTCTCACCTCGCTCTGCTAAAAGCTGAACAGGAGGCTGGAAAATATACAGACCCCCAGTTCTGCTTGGACAGCTAGACAGTACCCTGTAGCAACGTCAACCTAAAATATGAAGCTAGTTGAAGTTCCCAAAGGTCAGAGCTTGAAAAAATGTGTTTTGTCATAAAGCCACACTATATTTCTTTGAAGAACATTACAGGATCTTTATTTAATTTTAGAACTAATGCATCACATTCCAGGCACAAATTGCCAAGATCTTTCAAAGGAATGTGGTTCCCAGTGCCACAAGCTCAGTGGCCAGCTGGCTGGCTGATGAGATGGCCTTGGCATTATGCAAGGGGAGAAGGGGGTCTCATGAGACCAAACCTCCTTATTCACTCCAACTGACCAGAGTCTTCTCACTGAGGTAGAACTCCCCAGTCCCTGCCAACATTCTTATCAGAAATCAAAGCTCCTGAAAAAGCAACTAGAATTTGGTGGAAATAATGAAACTGTAGTTTTGATTCTAAGGTCAAACCCGTAAACAGAATTTTCCATTTTAAGAATATTGACTAAATGGGAAATGGCATCATGTGGCAAATACTACTGACTGAACCAAAGCCCTGCCACTCTTTAGTTTGCTGAGCTGCACTGCCCACAGAACATGATGAAGGGATCTAACTGCTAAATGACCTCCTTAACCCCTGACAAATCCAAGCAAGGCATAGGCAAGGCATAGGGTCTGAGGCCAGCTCCTTGGGAAAGTAGTTTCTCCTCAGAGAAGGGCCTGGAGATGCCCTGTTGCTAACTACACAGTTATTTGAGGAGCAGATGTCTCCATAGTATGCTATGATGTGGGGTGTGTGTGTGTGTGTGTGTGTGTGTGTGTGTGTGTGGTTTTAAAGCCTGTTCTCTGTTGGTCCTTATCAGCCTGTGTGTGGATTCTTGCCACTGCTACCAAAGTCCCTTTTTGGGAAATCTGAGATACAATCGCTCTCAAGAATAACCTATCCCAAGATGAGCAACATGATTCGTTTGTCATATGGGATTTGGCTATTGAAAAAGTAAAACAAAACAAAAGTTAGTGATGATTCTTTAGTCAAGATTGATATAGGTGGTTTTGACAAGTTGTTTCTTTTCTACATGTTTTCTTCCTGAGCATTGTCCCTGAGCAAAAGTATACCACCCTTCTACCAAAGGGACTGCTGTGAACCATTCTGAACACTTTGTTACTTTAGAATATTTGCAGCTTTCTTCCAGGCAGTAGATTAGAACCAGAAAAAAGGGGGTTGTGTACTGGGGACACATTAGGAACTTCTTCTGAATCTTCGACGCCACTGCTTACCTTGTGGTATCATGTTTTATAACCTGGGATATGGTGGAGCTAAGGTGAGAGAAAGGTATGAACCAAATTCCACCCAGAAGAGATATCCTTTTTCTAAGAGATATTCCTTCCTCTCTAAAAGTATACCTAAGATAAATACCACACACTTCATTTTCAAAGTGCTGTGTTTTGTCTGCTTCATTCTCTTCTCCAGACTCCACTGTAAAAAGGCAGAGCAGACATTAAAACACTACCTTATCCATGAAAAATTTTAGTCATAAGTGCCTGGCCTGAAGTTGCTATTAGCTTGGTCCAGGTGAGTGCCTTGTCTCCAAACCACGTTCCTCTGGCCATATGTCCTGGCCAAGGGGTAGCCAGAGACTGAAGTGATGAAGTAGTCTCAGTTGTGAAGTCTGAGAAACACACAGTTGGTGAGGGCAAAGGAAAAACCATTTTCTGGAGGGGAAACTGCGAGTCCTGTGCACATGGAAACAGGGCATTCAATAGAAAGCAGCCAAATGTGCATTCTGCATCAAAAGGTGTTGGGAGGCAGGAGGAGTTGATGGTTCAAAGCACTTCCATTTTCATCACCATGTAATTGTTAGAGACCAATCAATGTAAGCACTATTAACCCTTCTCTTACTGACTGCAATGGAGAGCCAAACTGGAACTGAGTGTGAAGTGACCACAGTGCAGTGCAGTCATCCTGTTAACAAGAGCTCCCTTTTGGTGTGTGCCCTGTGCCTCCGGCTCTTCCGTCCCGGCAGTGGGCTCTAAGTGGAGTATCCCCAGCAACCTGGGAGTCCTCTTTTGAGGCCACAACCCACCAGAATTTAATTTTTCTTTAGGGTCAACTTCTCCACTCTAGCAAAAGTAATGCCTGTTCAATGATACTATTAGGAATCAAAGTCAGGACTTTTGTTTGTGTGATCAGTAACACATTGTTCTGAGAATCTTTGTGTATTAGAGCTGAAAGGGCCCAGTGACTCCTAGTTAAGGGCACATGGAGGACTCTTCCTAGGAGTTCTGTTCAAATACACCTGTCTGGGTCAGTCCTCCTTCACACACCCCCACTAGAAGCCAGGTCCCTAAGCTGTGGTATACCGGACCATGGGTCTTTTGTAAGTTCTACAGGTGACTCTGGTCTCTTATAAGCTCCCCAAGTGACTCTGGGATGTGCCTAAGTTGTGAACTGCTGATCTGAGCCCTCCTTTAATTGTTATGGAGGAAAAGAAGGGTCAGAAGAGTTGGATGTCTGATCCGAGTCCACCAGCCAGCTGTTAGTAAAGGGCACCTGCTTTGGGCCAGCACCTCATATAGTAAAATATGCTGCCAGGTTTGCCTTGAAAGATAATCCAGACAGAGTCCTAAAGATTCAGACAATTTTTATGTCTGCTAAATTCACCTGAACGGACATTGTGAATAAGCTAAGTGAACAGGCCACAAAGTGGTTATTGAAATAATATGGGAACTCACGAGAAGATTTTTAGTTTGAGTGCTCTGTGGACTGGCATTTTTCATAAGTACTATAGAAAAGCCAGAGTTGTAAGTGGACTAAGAGATTTTAATAAACCAAGCAAGTTTGACATTAAGCAGTAATGAAAGACATTTTCTTTCCAAAAAAAATACCAGCGATGCAATATGTCCAGGCCTTCAGTTAGTCCTTTCTGGATTAAAGTCTGCAAACTCAGCTCTTTGGGTTTTGAGGCAAGTACATTTAATTTTCAACTGGGAAGTACATTTAAAATTAACCTTTACCTGTTCCCCAGTGTGGCATTCCTATCAGGTGCTGAGATATTATTTTCAACTGCTCTCTATCCCCTTGGTCATTTCTGGAGCAATAGGCACAGCTGTGGGGAAAGGGGCCTTTGGTTCTGCCTCTTCCATTGTCCTTACTGATTGATATTTAAGTGATTACATAAGGAATGACTTGTTCTCACTAGCTCTACACTTAATGAGTTCATAGCTACTTACCAGAGCCCTTTATAGTGACATTTCTTTTGCTCTTGCTTTTCACACACTCTGAAAAATATTTCAAATATTGATTTGCATTTAATAGAAGTGCCCCCATCCCATTTGAATTTTTAAAACCAAGGTGTAAAGAATGAAAATTTGCATTTGTTTGACAGTGTAGTCTTATAATTAGAGTGTTTCCTCTTGACTAGATACAGTGAAAGGGGTATAATTTAATTTTTATAGACTAGCCAATTTCTGCCCTTAGTAAAATATAGTTCTGTCAGTGAGCAAAATGTTACAGGTTCTCCTAAACCTTATTTAAAAGTTAAATGCAGTATATTGAGAGAAAGTTCATGGTCTGAATCAGTAACCTAATTGATCTCTTCACCCATCCTTTGCAACATGCATTAATCTATTTGTCTGTTTTGCAATACAATAGTTACTGATTTATATGCCATGTTGCCTCTGCATTATGGCTGTATAAGCAATGGTGACCTCCTATTTGGATTAGTTAGTTGCTCCTTAAGTTGAACAGTGATGGTTCCATGCCTCGAATAGGTTAATTTTATGCCCTATTTTCTAATGAGCTAAATAAGGGACAGCAAGTGAGAACTTGATGTCCCTAAAATAATCAGTCATCCACTCAGAAAGAAATGGAAAGCTAACCATGGCTTATGTTTTCTTAAGTCTATGCTCTGCTTAATTTTATCAGAATTTAAAATATTAGGCTCTAACAGATTCATAGATAGAGAACAGACAGACTGTTGTTGGAGGTGGGGGCTGGGTGGAGGAACTGAGCAAAAATAGACAAAGAACTCATGGGTGGGGTTGTGAGGGGGAGGAGGGTATGGGGGGATAAATAGTGGTGGAGGGAGACTTGGGGTGGTGAACACATAGTACAGTGTATAGATGATGTGTTATAAAGTCATGAACCTGAAACTTGTATAATTTTGTTAACCTGTCATCCCAGTAAATTCAAATATATATATTAGGTAATATTTTGTCATTGGGGTGGGTTTGGCAGGCAGAAGTGCCACTCTGGTAATCAATACTATGTCATAGTCCATTTACACTGGGACTTTTTCCACTCACACACAGCATGCCCATGTTGGTGTGTATATTTTTACATGTGTGTCTGTACAGATGCTCTTCAGCTTACAATGGGGTTGTGTTCTGATTAACCCATTGTAAGTTAAAAATATCGTTAAGTTGAAAATGCATTTAATACACCTCATCTACCAAACATCATAGCGTAGCTACTTGGTTTCTACAGAATGTGTATTGCTTTTGTACCATCAAAAGTAAAAAAACAAACAAAAAACCCTAAGTTGGACCATAAGTTAGGGACTGACCGTCCATATATATTTGCATATACATATGTGATTCTTGTACAAAAAATGAAATTAAGTTCCCCTTCTTTTCAGATGTTCAGAATGTTAACTACTTTTCCTGGTTGTATTTTAGGCATGAAGACATTAGATGTTAGA